CTCTCCCTGGAAAGCACAACAGAGAAAAAGAAACCTTCGGTTTTCCTTATCACAGGACAAGGGTGCCCCTGTTTGTTTAAAAGCTCACTAAAAATTTTCCTGGTGGGAATGCAAAATGGTGTATTCAATTTGGAAAACGTTCCGGGACTACCCTAAAGGACATATTTACTATGTATGACCCAACAATCCCAAGCTACATATTTATACATTGCACATAGATGTGTGAGAGAATTTGAAACATGTTGACACAAAAATTTACACATGAATATTCATAGTATTATTAATAGTAGCCAAAAGTAGAAACAACTGATGAATAAAACGTGGTATATCCATACAATGGAATGTCATTTGGTCATAAAGAGGAATAAAGTACTAATAATACATGTTGCAACACTGGTGAACATTGAATACGCTACCTTGAAAACATTACGCACAGGGAAAAAAGCCAAATACTGTTATGACACTGTTTATATGAAATGTCCATAATAGGCAACTCTGTACAGAAAGTTGTTTTCCTCATATAGATCTTGTACATAATTTGATTTCTACCTAAGGATTTATTTGGGAGGGGGAGGGGGGTTGCTGATGTAAATGGTATTTCTAATTTCAATTTTTACTTGTTTATTGCTGGTAAGAAAGGAAATGACTTTTGTGTATATTAACCTTGTATCATGCAACCATGCTATAATCACTTATTGGTTCCAGAAACTTAAAAATTCTATTGAATTTTTACATATATATTTATGTCATTTGCAAACAAGGACAGTTTACTTGCTTTTGATATCTAATTGAAGCATATCACTAAGGGATATCTTACTAAAGCAAGTGTTAAGTGTTCAATGTCAATGTATCATTAACAAAGTTATAATTGTTGAATTATTACTATCACCAAGGCATAATATAAAAATTCAACACAGCAAGGCTATATTAACTACTATCTGGAAAGAAGTGAAAAATATCCACTTATGGATATTTTGTGACAATTTCAATGGGTCTGTTTTCTGTATATAAGCCACCTGGATTCCATAACTAATAAAACATAAAAATATTTAAATATTGACAACTTATTGTAGACTTTCTCACAAAGATTTAACTAATGAAGTGGAAATCTCTGCTCCCTAATAAAGTGAAGATGATAAAAATGTTAGAAAAAAATAAATCTACAGTACATTCTTATAAAAAGAATTTACAGTAAAAACTTACAAGTTACATTTGAATGCAAGATTTCTAAAATCAAGTGTCTAGTTCTTCCATTAAGTGGGATTATGTAGTGATATAATTCTTTGTTTTACATTATTCCATTAAGATTCATATGATGATCTATCATTTTTAGTGCAATATGTAAAAATAATTTATTTGTAGGACCCTTTGGCTACTTCATTGCTATATCGCTCTAAACTTATACTTCTCTATTGGCTTGTTTCTTTGTGTAATATTGCTTATTCTCTACTATCTTGATTGTGGGTAAATTATTAAAAAGTTACATTTTGAGACAGCTATTATTTCTTTGACTTAATTACCTCTGTAAAAAAAATAGGTATAATACAAAGAAATAGTAAAATGAGACATATTTTGGGGTAGGAGTCCTTTCAAGTACTAAGAAACATGTACGTTTAAAGGATTACAAATAGGTGATTTCACAATATTGGTAAGAAACCAAAAATGCTAA